CTCAATACTCCGTCGTTTTGCAACCGGGCGCACCATCCTCATGGTGCGCCGGTTGCACGATATAATTTGCGAATTAATACTATCGTACTATTATATCCTCTACTTAAGATTATGTAACTAGTATATGTGTAATCACTAATCTGTAATCTATCTATAGATTATAGATATATGTGTGTTAGATATAATATACTCCCTCCAGTGGAGGAGCTGGGGAGGGGCATCAGGGGGCAAGCGCCCCGCTTCGGGCAAAAAAAACTAGTACTACTACTTATAATATATTTAATGTCACCCTTCTTCTTTTAAAAAATCAAGACTAATCAAGGATAATTTTTAATAAGTGTTAAAATAAAAGGTATAGTCTTTCAGGAAACGTACGTGTCTCTATGATTACGATACACATATTAGCTACAGCATACCACACTCATTTGAATGTAAGTGTGGATTGTTTTAGACTTTTATTGACACATTGGTTGACTTTTCATGATTTTAGTGAGCAAGAAAGTATTGAGTTTGATGTATGTGTTGTCACATTTCTTGTAACAAAAAGGTCAAAACATTCTCAAAATTGTGTTGGAATCCCTCCTTAATGGAGAAGTTCATGAGAATTTTATAATTTTCAGAAATGTCTAAGATTCTCTATTTGTGTGTAGAGATTTCAATTATGGAATAGTAATGTGGAGTTTTCTAGAGAAGTGTGGCACTAGCTCTATAACATTTTGAAGAATTGTGGAGTTCTCTAAATCCTTCAAAAAGATTAAAGAAGCTTGTCGATACTTTATTGGAAGAATCTAGATGTGTAGTGATGTATAAAAAAGTTTAAGAAAAGCTTTGATGAGATAAGTATAGAGAAGCTTCCTATTTCTACGAGAACCTTGAGGAGAGCTCTTGAATGAGTGAAAGCAAGAGTCGTCTTGAGAGAGGAAAGTGAGATCCTTCTTGTGGAGAAGAAGACTCAAATATATCGCTTGATGAAGTGTATGTGATCACGTCAGGTAGAGTGTAGTATTGTCATATACAAAGAGTGAATGCGGGTATAATAGAAAGTGATATTGTCGGATTGAGTCTTTGTATTATGAGTGTGTGAATAAGTGTACAAGAGTTATGAGCTCATGATCCTGGAAAAGGGTGGAGGTGGTGTTTTTCCAACATGAAGTTATTATACAACATTTTGAATAAATTAAAACTCGTATGATTGATTTACCCATATTATAGATACAAGTCAAGCAATATGTAATGAACTAATTTGTACTAATGGATTACTCTTTTATTGTTTTTATTATATTTTCAGCAAATACACAATAATTCTTAGTTTTCATACGCCCCCCTCGAAAAATCTCTAGCTCTGCCACTGACTACCTACGTCCCATGTATTACAAAATTGCGGGAGTTTTGAAAAATAACATACAAATTAATAAGTTTGAAACAAATCAAGAGACAAACCAAAACAGTATAACAAAGGGGAAATTTGTTAAAAGAGTCCTGTAACTTTGGCCAATAGCCGATATTGATCCTATAACTTTACATACTTGCAAAATACATCCTTCAACTATTATATTTGTTCAATTTGAGGACATTGCCATCGGAAAGTTAAATTTTGGCCGGAAAGTTACATGTCAATCTCCCGTTGTTGTAATCTTTTCCTAACGTTTGCAGCTGACTTGGATGTGGGCCCCTTTTATGACTTATTCCCAAATACTTCATTGTGCTCTGATCTCCCAAATCCCCCATTAGAACAATAAAAGCGCAAAACCTAAAAGAAGAACGGAGGCTTCGTAATTCTTGGTCCGGCTTCTCCACATATGGAAGGAAGGTGAGTGTGCGTTCCTCTAAAGTGCAAATAATGGCTCAGGCAAGGATCTATGGAATATTATTGTGGTAAGAAGGCCGGTGTTTTAACTTCATAGACTGATATATGACGAGGGAAGGAGGTTCCATGTGTGCTCCAGAAACAGAGTAAGAACTCTAAACTTTTAAATTTTGTAGGTTTCATATTTTGCTTGAAAAAATTAAATATTTTATATGTAGTATTACTTTGATATAAGAGAAAAAAATCTAATGTTAAAGGTTCTAACAAGACATTGGAACAAGAATAATAGTTAATTAGCAAAACTAACGAGTTGTCTTTTATCTGGACCGTTTCTATGGTTACAAATGGAGGCTTTTAAAATTGATAAGTGTCAAGAATTTTTAAAAAAATAGCCCGAAGTGCAGTTTTTTCTTTATGTTCATTTTTACAATTTCATATTTGGAATTTATAAGAAATAAATTGAAGATGTATAATCTACTACTCCGTATTCAGTTTAATCTAACTACTTTTTTTTTTAATGTTTTATGAATCAGAGAGTGTTTTCTTTATGTGCAGGATGTTTTAAAATAAGGAGTGTTTGGGAGGGAACCAAAAACAGGGTCTCAAGTCCAGGTTAGCTAGGCCATATGAAAAAATATGAACAAGTGGCGCTGATGTGTTAATTTTCGGCGGAATTATTACTTTCCGACATAAATGTCCTGAAATTGGACAAATATGTTAATTAGAGGACGTATTATGCAAGTAAATGAAGTTAGAGGACCAATATCGGGCACCACCAAAAGTTACGGGACTAATTATACAAATTTCCCTATAACAAAGCAATATCCAAAATTAGTACTACCACCGTATTTGAATGTTTGGGACATTTGGCTTTTGCACAAAGTTAGTCAAACAGCAAGGATAGTGAATAATTTAGAAAATGTATAAAAAATTATAGAGAACGATGCAAAAATATGAAGGAGTTGCAAATAGTTAAATACGATAATACTCCCTCTGTCCCATTGGACTTTGCCAACTTACCCTTTTTGGTTGTCCCAAAAAACTTTGTCACTTTCCTATTAAAGCAACTAATTTGTGGTTCTGCACATTTCTTTCTCCTCTACACAAATTTCAACCACACAATTTTTACATTTGTCAAAGTCCACGGGACGGAGGGAATACTAAATAAAATGAAAGTGTTGAGAACATTCAATTACGAGGCGAGTACAATAATGGAAATATCAAAATAAACGTAAGGGATTGAATATCATCTGATGATTGGACTGACGGGCAATGAAGAATGATAGCTATACACCACGGTTTAGGGACATAACAGATTGGTTTCTTTTTTTAACAGAAGCTTTGAGCACAACGAGACTAGCAGTAATTATCTGCAGCACACCATTCCAACCGTACTTGAGTCGCAAGTTTATATTACCAGTACGTATTATTGAGAAGGATGACAGTTTAATTGTAGTGACTTAATACATACTCCCTCCGGTTCACATTCTTCTTTACACTTTCCTTTTTTGTCAGTACCACATTCTTCTTTACACTTCCTTATTTGCCTTATTTGGCAAACAAATCTACCTAAAACAGTGCCAAACAGTGTCCAAACAGTGTACTCTACAGTAAAGTCAAATTTACTTTCTTAAAACCTGTGAAGTCAAGGAGATTATGAACCGGAGGGAGTAGTATAACTATGGACTTGGCAGTGGCAGAAAGTACTTTTCGAAAATGTTCTGAGTTCTGGTTCCAGTGGATACATCTTCTCAGGTGGGTTAGTTTAATTGTTTTGGATGAACGGATGGTTGATGGGACCATCCATCACTGGACGGCTATCAAATAGGATGGGCGGCAATGGGTAAGTTCCGGTGATGCTTGTTGGTCGGGTGAGACTTGAGAGGTAGGTTGGTGGTTTCAAAAAACAGAACAAAGGCGGGTGTTGCGGGTCAGCCGCACCTTGACTTCTGAATCTAATGACTATTAATGACCCCAGGGGGGGCAAGCTGGTTTTGGACAGTAGGAACGGGGGAATGACAACCTATAATAAAGCACAAGCTAATACGAGTCGGCCAGAAGAAGCAAGGGTTGGATTACCAGATCCTGGACACAATCTTCCTAGAGATGGAAAGGACCTTTGCCTTTTTGCACCTCTCCTTGCTTGCTTACCTATAGCTGTAGCTGTAAAGTGTTAGAGACTGTATAATGGGCCGCGAGTTTTTTTGGATCCTTTTGTAATGGGCCACAAGTATTTTTTGTTCTTGTTGCTATTAGGGGTTAGGTTTTACTCTCTATAAATACAAGCTCTCTCCTTGTAATCAAGGATCTGAAATTAATAGCAATATCATGGCTTGATAGCGCCCCCAGAAGTAGTCCTTTGTGGCGAACTGGATTACCAAATTTCGTGTGTTCTTTCTTATTGTTCTTCGTGTTACGTTAGTTAATTCTTAACAATACCTCTCTTGTCTTAGTGACTCTTCTTCACAAGCTATTATTCGAGAACAATGTATTCAACTGCAGCTCTACCTGTGACATAAAACATTAGCACTGGCAACTCTCGCTGCCACAGTTGGAACCAATCAAGCAAATGATTGACCCATCATATCATCTGAACAAACAGAAATAACCAAAAAGTTCGAATTCACTCACTTGGGGAAGATTTGTTAGGATGTTTCTACAACAGGGTTGTAGCTCCTATCCAGAATTATCCAATCTTTGATCTAATTTTTATTTTGCTCTTTCTTTTGTTGCCAGTTGTGCCAAGGTATCTCACAAATTTATTACATAGCAGTATTTATGTTATCAGATTCATGATAACCTGTGTGTTCAAAAATAGTTTCAGTAAACCTACTCAGTGGTAAGCGATTCATGTAGCTCTACTCAGTGGTTAGCGATTCATGTAGCTTTTGGAATGGCCGTTTATATGTCTAGTCATACGGCCAACAATACTGGAGAACGATTGGTATCATGTTTGCAGTTGCTCTAATTTTAAATCGTAGTAAAAGTTTTGAAGTATTTCCCGTAAAAATACATAGGGAATTTGATCATGTTAAACTATGCTGGGGGAATAAAAAGGGTTGCAGTCGACAGTGACGGTCTGCCTCAACCACCTATGCGAGGGGATGTTTGGACTAACAGTAAAGGGCTTAAGAAGGATTTAAGTTAATGGAATTGAGAGGAGTTCAAAAACGTTTTTTAAAACATTGCTACAGCTGAGATGGTAGCGTTACAGGCTGAGAACAGTTATGAAGAAGATCCTTTTAATCTTGACAAGATCAGTCACACAAAACAGGCTGAGTTATGCAAGAGACTTAAGCAAGAAACTTTTTGGCAACAAACTACCAATATTACCTCTATTAAAGAACGCGATGCATGTACTAATTTTGTTCAAGCATCTGGTAAAGAAAAGCCGCGTAGGCTGGCTATTTGCACTACTAAAGATGCATCTGGATCTTGGCATTCTTTTCCTCAAGATATTAAAAAGGAGGCTACAAGATATTACTTTGAACTTTTCCAACATTAAGACACTTCTGCCCCAAAGGAGTTCCTAGAACATATTCCTAATGTTGTTGACAATTTTGACAGTGCTCGTCTTCTGCAGATGCCTCAAATAGAAGAGATCGAGCAGTCTGTTTGGCAGCTTAACCCTTGCAGTGCACTAGTGCGTGATTGGTAATTGGTATCCTGGTCTTTTTAGGGCATGTTGGGACGTGGTTGCTCTGGATGTGGCTGGTGATGTGCGGAAACTCTTTTTAGGCAGTCATCATATTCATAAAGTTGTGGCTAGTGCTCAACTAGTTTTCCTGTAAGTTTATTAACAAGTTCAAGATACAGCTTTTCCCCAACAAAAATACATTGGAACATCATCTGAAATTTATTCTGCTATCTCATAATCCAATATGTCTTGAATTGTAATCCAAGAATGATGTAAATGTCGCATTAGTTGACTATGTTGACACAAGATATTAGTCTGATCCACAAAAATGCAAAATTACAACCACGATGGTTATTCACTTATGGTGATACCGCTATCTCATGGAGATCAATCAAGCAAACATTAACAGTGACATCATCAAATCATGCAGAACTGATTGCTCTTTATGCAGCAAGCCTAGAGTACGTCCGGTTGACATTAATGATCTAGTGCATACAAAATGAATGTAGCGTAAAAACATTTATGTGTGATTCTATTGTGATTTATGAAGACCAACACGGGCACACGGCATGTATAGCTCAGATCAAAGTAAGTTACATCAAATGGAATAAAACAAAGCATATAACATCAAAACTTTTCTCGAGATCTTGAGAAAATAAAAGCAATTGGTATCTAACAAATCAAGTCATGCAATAATCCAGCTCACTTATTCACAAAATCATTGCTCCGAAAGAAGTTTGTAAAACTTATACGAAGTATACAAGATTAGAATGTGCCATCTTCGAGATATATGTTAAATTCCGGAGTATTATGTGCACTGCACTCAAATTTTTATCGTACTGAGTTTTTTCTGACAATGTTTTAATGAGCTAATACATTATAATAATAATTTGAGATTAAATATTGTATTCGTTTTCCCCTTAACTATGGTTATTATCCCATTTGGTATCCAACGGTAAAGTTTTTAACAAGGCAACTAATCCTCAAGTCATAATTAGAAAATGTTCATTTAAGGGAGTGTTGAAAAATAATGAATGATACATCTTCTATTATTCATGATTAAGAAATTATCGTCATCATTACAAAAAATCATACTTATGATTTCAAAAAGGTAGTAGACGTAGTTCAGAATTGTCTCCTAATCTAAATGAGCTTATCCTAATCTAAATGAGCTTACGTTTTAACCCGTTGTAATAATATAATCTCAAATAATTAGAAAATTATACATATAATTTCAATCTAAATGAGCTACATTTTCTCCTCACCCCAAACCTCTGTTAATTTTCCTGTATTTCATAACAAGATTCAAAATTTCACATTTATTTATTCAAAATCTATTCAATTTATTTATTCAAAAAAAAAATGTACAATGCTTTCTAATTAAACCTATATAGTATATGCTCAATGTTAATGCCAACATCCTTGACTGGGATAAGATTCGAATCCTTGAACTAGAATAGGATTCGAACCTGTGACAATCTCCTTTGGAGGGTCAAAGTGATGCATTCTTTCTTAATTCTTATACCGTAGATTTTTGGCAAAAAGTGAAACATAAAAAACTACTCCTTATGTAAAAATTAAAGACACAAACAAACTAAAGATCTCATTATTTTTATTTACGCATATTTAATTAACTCCAACCTAAACTGAAATTAGAAGAAAGTGGAGAATTGTAACCAGAATTTAAACAAGTCGTTCCCTGCCACGCTTTGAATGTCACCCGCAGTCATGTTGCTCCGCCATAATTGATCCTAGAATTGCGATTTAGAGACGGGAATCAGGCTTCGCCGCCGGATCTATAGCGGTAGAACTTGCCGAAGACGTGCAGAGCAGTGACGAATCCAATGAAACAGATGCTCATGATGAGGACGACGGTCGGGCCCACCTTGAGACCTGGAGCGTCATCCGTGTAGAATCTGAGCATGTTGCTTGAGTTTCCGGAAGCTCCCGCTCCGGATCCGGCAGAGGACGTCCCTCCGATCCTTCGGCGGCGCATTCCAGCTGTGGCGGCAGCCGATCCTCGCGGTGCCACCGTGCCGGGACGAGAATTGGAGGAGAAGGTAGGCTGAGAGCTGGTTGGGCGCGCCATTTATCGGCGAAGACAGGAGAGAAATGTCGATGCCGATTCTTCAGTACTTTTGATTGACGAGTGAAGACGCAGATAGGAGATAGGATCTTACAGGAATTATGAAGAAGTATAACAAGGGTGGGAAAAACTGAACCCAAACCAGGAAACCGGTCCTAGACCGACCCGAATTACAAATACCTGGACCGAACCCAAAATTTCGGTCTCATTAACAGGCCTTAAAATCTATAATCCGGCCCGGACTGAAAACACCCGAAACAATTAGTTTTAATATAAAACTAATACTCGTATATTATATGAGTATAAATTTATAAATATTTCCTAATACTCTCTCCGTCCCAAGGAGAAGTTCCCGGGTTGACTTTCACACATATTTAGGAAATAAAGTTACTGAGGGGTAAATTTTACTGTTTGGCACTGTTTCGACACTGTTTGGCACTGTTTCGACACTGTTTGGCACTGTTTCGACAATGTTTGGCACTGTTTTGCACTGTTTGACACTGTTTTGATGTAGGATAACTTTCCATTTAGGGAAATGAGAACTTTTTGTTAAGACTACCAAAAAAGAAAAGTGGGAACTTCTCCCTGGGACGGAGGGAGTATATGATTATAATCACGGTGGATAAAAAATCATTTAGTAACTTTTAGTGACTACAAATATGTTCAATTTGTTTAGCATAATGACCATGAAAAATAGATTTATAGGAACTCTATTCACATTTTTATCTATAAATTTTATTTCGAAATATTATTTATTTATATGCATCTTAAATAAAATCTCTAAAAACTTATAAAAGTGAATGAGAGTAAGGGTTCTTTGGGTATATGAAATGTGTTGGTGGTACAATAGAGCTAGATTGGATTGACGTTCATTTTAAAACATTGTACCCCTTTGCCTTTGTCGTTCCTGGCCTTCCCTATCATCCGTATAAAACAACTCTGTATAAATTAAGCCTCTTAAATTAGGTCGTATGTATGTGTGTGTGTGTGTGTGTATATATATATATATATATATACACACACACGAAGTATATCTTTTCTCTTCCAACTCCACTCATCAGTCTTGTTCATTCCATTTACTCGATCACTGGTGCTCTGGTGAGTTTCATTCCTTAATTTGGAAATTTTGGTGTATTTGATTATTTACTTTTACTTGATTGTAACCATTAATTGGTCAATTCACAATCAACTTCTAACGATTGATGTGGGAGTAGGAAACTAAGCAGCAAAGTATGAACCGGAAGATATTGAGATCTATTGATTTAATGGATTTAGAGACTAAATTTTGTAAATACAAGCAACAAAATATTGGGATGAGTTTTGGTTGGAATCAGGGGTCAAAAATGCAAGTTTTCTCTCAAAAATAAGATTATTTTTGCAGTGTTATACCTTCTCAGTTTTTTATTCTTATTGCTGATTTGGTTCTATAATCTTCCTCCCTAAGAAGCATCATTTTGGTTGAGGGTTGTTAGATGGACCATGATTTGATATCAAAATTTGTCTTCTTTTCACCTTATTGGTACAAGGTAAATGAATCTCGAAAATTAAATTTCAGATTTATATGTCATCATTTTTAGACTAGGTTATACAGTATAAAATTTGAGATTTCATCAGATTTCTGAAAATGGTCAATTATCATATACTCCCTCCGTCTCATTTTACATGTCCCACTTTCCTTTATGGGCTGTCCCAAAATAAGTGTCTCGTTTCCTTAGAATGAAATCTATGGTCTACAATATTTTACTCTATTACACTCAAATTTCAACCACAACTTTTACTTTTTCAACCATTTCATTAGTATATTGTGCCAACTCAAAGTAGGACACATAAAATGGGACGGAGGTAGTATCATGTTATGTAGTTTTTTTAATTGATTTGTTCTTTAATATGTGTAATCTACTTTTTCAAACTTTATTCTATGGTTGTTTTTATGGGAACCAATTGTTCTCCAAGGCATCCTGTTTAAGAAAAAATATCATTAGCTTTTTCTGGCAAAAGATTCAAGTTTTAGTGGAAGTGTTTATAATTGCCTTTATGTTCAAGTTTTTTTTTATTTAATAGTATGTTGGTTAATTTCCTAACAAAACAGTTTTGTAAATGGCAGGTAGCAATACACGCTTATCCTTCTAAAAACTGATTGTTACGCTCTTCTTATGGTCCTTCCATAGTTCACTATATTTTGATCTCTTCTTTCTCGATATTGGTAGTTTTAAATTCAAACTATTAGGATGGAAGAATCTATTTTTGAAATTGTGATTGGTTTTGCTGAAAATTGGCACATGATGAAGGAATAATTATTTAATTTGAGGTGTACTGAACATGAAAATTTCATTTTTAACCCAAGAATGTGGTTGTTGGGGTCACAGATGCTTTGACACCCATTACTATATTGTTAACTGTGGTGTATATGACACCCATCTTTGATTTAAGTATAAGGCTTAGCTCTGCTAAACTGCTTGTAAAATGAAACCCTCTCTTACTTTCTACTCATTGTGTATATGTGTTATACGTACCTATATAATTGCAATATATGGCGTCATTCAAGGTCGCTTAAAGAATGTAAGTTTGCAATAGGATGACAAGGTCATACTTTTGCTCAGAGTTGTGCACAAGTGGACTGTCCCTAAGACAGAAGGTTCTCTTGAGCCATATATGGTTACCCATAAATGGTTGAGATGGTTCTGAACCAAAAGGGGTAGCTTGCTTTTGTGGTTCTGAACCAAAAGGGGTAGCTTGCTTTTGTGGTTTAATCTCTGGGCGTCACATCTAGCAAAGCCCTCCCAGGCGAGAAGGTGTGTCGCCTGACTAATACTTATATCCTAAATATCTATACATTTAAAAACTACACTTATAAGATTTTTCTGATAGGTTCTAATATAGCTTGGGTATAGCAACCACATATTAGCTTTTTCTGATAATTGTTGGATGGTTCCTTTTAATTGTAGTGTTTGTTTTCAGGGAGTTCAAGAGTCCGACTCGCTAGCACATGTGAAGTCTTAATTTTCTTTGGCCTATGAGAGATCTTATTTTTCATACAAGTGTTTTTTTCTCATTAAACCAACTTTAAGCAAACTCCTTCAAAGATTTGATATCAAACATGTATAGCTTTTACGACAACCCTTTTTTTTCCGTATAAAGATAATACAAATTCATATAAAATCAAATATTAAAAGGAAGTAGAGTTAAGGAATAATGATATGAAACCTTCTATGTGAATAAAGTTATTGGGGGATTTATTGATTCCGAATGTTCCATACTTACATGATACTCCTTTCGTCACATTCAAAGGTTTTCATTTTTTTTTTTGAAGTTCCACTTAAAAGTTCCCCTTTTCTATTTTGGAAATTATTAACACTCTTAAATAACAATTTAATCATTAAAGGTTATTTCTCAAAACATACTCGAATTAGCATATTTAATTACTCCCTCCGTCCCATTGGACTTTGCCAACTTTCCCTTTTTGGTTGTCCCAAAAAACTTTGTCACTTTCTTATTAAAGCAACTAATTTGTGGTTCTGCACATTTCTCTCTCCTCTGCACAAATCTCAACCCCACAGTTTTTACTATTCTTATTTCTCACCTACTTTGCACTTGGCAAAGTCTACCAGGACGGAGGTAGTATTATCTAAAATAACCGTTTCATTTTGCAATGGAAACTTTTGAATGGAACATAAGTAGTACGCCCTAACATATAGTGACTTTAGGTTTCTTTCTTTCATGTGACTATTGAAATTTACGATCTTTTCAACTGTGGAAAATGGTGATCATTGAAATTTTAGTGAGTTCTATACTTCTATATCATCATTGGTATCACATAAGACATGCTTCTCTGAAATAAAAAACTGCTATTTAACAAAATTACAATACACTACATTTTAGGTTACACTGTATGCATTGGGCACTATCCCCATCGTGCAACGCGCGTTACAAAACTAGTATTAAGATAATTATCTTCTTTAGATTTAAATGTTGGTGATTTTGAAGACTAATATTTGTGTTATTATTTGCGATTTGTATTTTTCATTAATTTTATTTTAAAATAGGTGTTAAAATATAAAAGAACAATGAGATAGTTCACGTTCGGGCTTTAACCGGCCCAACCCGAACCCGGGCTACCAAAAACCCGACTCGGACCAAATATGACGGGCTTTGTTCCAGTCCCTAATTTTCATAACCCGAGACCTTCCGGGTAATTTCCGGGTTTAGCAAAAACCCGACCCAGACCGGACCGATCCCACCCCTAAAGTATAGGGTTTAACAATAATTAGGCTATGGTTTAAGGTAGGGCTGCATATCGGGCGTGTTGGGTCGGGTTTGATACAGTTTTTGGGCCTATCCAATTTGTTCGGGTTGGCTATTAACCAACCCGCGATATGCAATATATGTTGGTAAACCATACATGAACGGGTCGAGTATTGGAAAAAAAATCACTTCGGATTGCATCTTTAATGTGGAAAACCAATTAAGCAATTTGAAACTCAATTAACTTATTTTCAAAACACACAAACAAATCCAAGTATCTTTTATAAGCAAAAACATTGGGCAAAAGTAATAAAAATACTTCTGTAAAGGAAGTTCATTTAGAAGCAAACATAAATATGTAATAATCACCTAGTCAAAATGGTAAATATTTAATTCTAATTCTAATATCATAAAGTCCTAGATAGAGCACATCGGTCTTAAATTGAAATTATCCAAGAAAACCTTATAGAATAATAATAGCAAAACGAACATTCGGTCGGGTCGGCTACTATTGGGTTTGAGAATTCAATTCCAAAACCCTACCCATTAAGTGTGGGTTCATATATATTTAACCCATGGATATTTTTTAAAATCAAATACCTAATTAAATAGAGTCAGTTAGGGTTGGATCGGGTAGGTTATGCGGGTTCGGGTTATTCTTGTGCAGCCCTAGTATAAGATTTAGCGTGTATATAACTATATATCGGGATAGAATTTCTGTTCGGTGCGATAACAATGGCATTTTTATTTATTTACAGAATTTATTTCCTGGCCCACTATTAGTTAAAAATAGATATCTGGCTATCTCCCCTCTTTAACTTCTTTGTCTACCAACTACTCTGAGTTATCAAATGCATGGTTTTAATTTGGGTTGGGCAAGTCAGTTTATGTTTGAGTTTTGGT